CCCCCCCCCCCCCCCCCCCCCCCTTATTCATTTTGGTTTTTTCTCTTGGTTTTTTTCCCCCCCCCCCCCCCCCCCCCCGCGCGCCAGATCAACATGTACCTTCGCAAGTGCGACTCCATCCCGGCCTTCCTCAGCAGCCTCACCGCCGAGCTGTTCGAGAAGCAGACCTTTGTGGGGTTTGTGGGGTAGGGTTACCCCCTCAACCTTGCGCGATGATGCCAGCTACTTCCTCTCGGAACGGTTTTTAATGTGAAGACAACGGCAACAACATCCGAGAACCTCGATAACTGCTGTTGCTATCAGATAGCGGACGAGAGAAGGTCGTTGGAGCGCAGGTGTCCGCCATCCATACGCCAGGGGTATTGGAGCAATCAGAGGTCGTCCCCAGCCGAGCCCGCGGAGTGCGGGTACTTGGCGGATGATTGGTAGCTCGTTTGGATTGTGCGTCCGCGCTGCGGGTTGTGATATGTAGCCCGGCGGTTCGAATGGTTTTTGACTGTTGTTTGCACGTGGTGATCGCCTTTAGCTTGTAAGGGCTTCTTTGCCCCCCTGATCTTGCAGCTAAAACAAAACCGTGCAGATAGTTGTACCATCTCAATTAGGCCACAGCTCTCCTAGCCGCCAGCAAGCTACTAGATAGATAGCTCGGCGGGCTTCCCTTTACAACCATCGGCATTCGGGGGCGCGAGAGGGGGGGGCAACAGCTAGCTAGATAGAAGAAGAGGCTTGTGGTAAGAAGAGCCCAACAAGTCTTGAATGACGCCGCGGACACGGTTTAGTGTGGTCGGCGTATGAACCCGTCTTGAAAAGTGATCTTCCCTTCAGAATGTATGGCGGAGGGGGGGGGGGGGGCTTGACGTTGTTTGGTTGGTTTACGTTTGGTAAACGCAGGTGGGCTTTCCTTTTTTACCCTGTAGGGTGGAGACAAAGGCGCATTGTGTTTATTTGCCAAAAGACTGGTGTTGGTGTTTTTTTCTTATTCATGATGTGTTGTTCGTTGCACAAACTACCTGTAGGTGTACAAGCTGTCGGCGCAATGACGCTGGAGAACCCTCCTTTTTTTTCACGCAGTTTCGAATTTTTTTGAATCAATGTACTCCCTCGTTGGAACCAGGATGATCTCGACGCGTTCACGTCAGCCGTGCATCGACAGCTACGATGCTGCGTTCCCCAACAAAGCAAGAAGCGAGAGACGGGCTAATCGATACGGTTTTATCCATCGAGTCCATCGACCACTCTGGAGGACCGTACTCGGAATTGTCGAAGAACTAAACGGACACCCGCGCTCCGAGAGTTCCACTCCACGAGCCCCCTCTCTATTCACTTACGTCCATCACGTCACATGTTTCGCAATGGGCGGTAGCCAGCAGCACGTTGCTGCTGCTTCTCTGGGCCTCACAGTAGCTCTATGTATTCCCCTTGTCCTGGTTGTCAGGTATCGAAAGAGTCGCGTCTACCTCATCGCTCCTCGGGCGCTCAATAAGTCGGTCATGGAACGTACACCACCAGCAACTACAACAGCGGCAGCAGTCCGCAGAGCTCCGGAGGAGGACGAGCAGGTGTTCTCGCTGTACGGCCGTGGTGATGGCGACAGCAGTGTCGATGCCGAGCCACTCGCCCCGCCGATAGAGCTGTCGGGAAGCGTCCTTGCCTTGTTGGATTCGTTCGATGTCGATCCAGTGCGAGGTGAGAGCGACGTACTACAGCAGTCTTTTGCTGACTGTAGTGCAATTTCTCCGCACAGACAGGCTGTGGGCAGCAGGCACCCTGAACAGGTTGCCGGCAACACAGCAGAAACACACCAAAGTCATAAAGCGTTGTACGGCAGCGTGCTCTCCCAGGTGTTATGTGTTGGCGTCTGTTTATGAGGGAGAGAGAGTTTCAAAACATGCATGCGGTAGATTGCGTGAGATACCACCCCCTTTTTTGCAAGCTCGGTTGCCCCGCGAATCAAGAGGATTCCACAACAAGACGATACCTTTTTTCGGAAAGCTCTCGAATATTACACGACGCGTTTTCGGAAAGCTGTCGACGAGAAGGGTCCAACGCCAGCACAACCGTCATCGCGCGTTTGCTGCAAAGTAATTGAGCTTTGAAGATCGGCTCCGGGGTGTGGTATCTTACGTCATGTCACCTAAAGTAAGCTGTTAGACCAGACGCGGACCATCACCCAGAATTTTTTATATTTTTCGCCTCACGCACCCCGTCCCTATGCACCGCACTCATCAGTAGCGTCGTGTTGAACACTCTCCTGCTGTCGTTTTGCTTTTTTTTACCCGTGTGCATCCATCTTTTCCCCGTGCAACGCCCTCGTCTTCTGGGTGTCGTTTTAGTTCCACTCCCGCCGCACAATCCCAAACCTCGTCGCCCGCCCCCTGCCCGCAGGCTTTTTGCCTCCGGTGGATCCCTTGCGACGGCTGCCCCAACGGGAGTTGCAACCCTGGGAGGCGATGGCCGCAGCGCTCCCCTCCCTCTTGGCTGTCGGGCAAGCCCGCAAGCCTTTAGAAGAGCTCCCCGAGCTGTCCATAGGTGAGAGGATGCATACTCCGAGTACATCACTCACAAGCAAAGAATCCATCTATTGTAGACGAGTCCGGGATAAGTTAGGGGTGGATCGGTAGCGTTTTTGCGTTGTTGTTCGGAGGTACAATTTGAAGCAGCAGCAGTAATAGGCTAGCCTAGAGTCAACCCTGAGCACTCTGTGTGGCGCACGGAATGCCCCTGTCGAACGCAACGGCATACCGCCGAGCGCTTGGACGCGGGTGCCATGAGCTTCATAGCGGCCAGCTGGGGCGTCGGCCCCTGCACGTGGCGTTCTGGCTCTCCCCGTCTCCCGTGATCTTTATCGTCGGCATAGCCAAGCCAACACGCCCCCCTCCCTTTAGAAGAGGCAGCAGCTAAAACGAGATTGATGCAGGTGGCCAATATTGTTGGTACCTACGCATGTGCACATTTTCCTGTTTTGTCATGCTTGTGTTCTTTCCTGTGAGGGGCAAAACGTACCCACCTGTTTGCACCTACACTCCACGGAGAGTCTCTCTCGCCGGCACGAGCGTCCGATATGTACGGTTTGGACAACTAGGCCGGGATGTGGGCGCTGGTCGCTGTGAGACCCGCACGCCTTCAGGCCCCACCCGTAGCCCCAACCTCCTCATATACCTTGGCAATGGCCACCCACAGGAGTATTTTCGACGAGTTGTCCCCGTTTGCGCGCCCGCCCCATCTTCTGGCGCGCACAGACGTGCTCACGTGCCAACGGGAAAGGATGCGTGCGCTGCTGCTCTTGTGCGTGTTCGCTCACGCCTCCGTGTGGGGAAACCCTGAGCGGCCGCAGGGGACCATCCCGAAGGGTGAGCGAACGGAATTGAAAACAAAAAATGTGAAATACAACGCGTGAAGAGGGCACTAATCAGCAGCAAGGGTGTCTTGTTTGTGTTTGTCGTTTGTGTCTTATTTTCCCGCCTGTCATTCTGGACGTGAGGCAGGCTACTTTCGGTATGCCTGGGCGCACCAGCCTGGGTCACACGCAAGAGGAAGGCCACACGACAGGAACTTGTGTGTTTTTCTCCACTTTCCGTCGATGTAAACCCTGGCACGACAAATCTGTTGTTTCCGACCGTGTTCCGCGGGCAAGGCTTTCGTGGCACGCTGATGGAGCGGTGCTTTTTGCTCTCGCGAGAGGCTCCACGAACACCCGCAATGAGTGCAGCAGTTTCTTCGGAAGTCTCGGGCATCTATGTATGCCGTTGATAAATTGTCGAACGCCAGGTTTTAGGAGACTTCATTTTACCGCCCTGGCCCCTCCCCTGCTGTCGCTTTCTGCTCGGGGGTTCGCGATGGAGGAAATCGCAACGTTTGGACTTTTCTTTTCGCGTTGAGACTCAGGCGGTTTCACCCGTCAGAGCGGCTACATTGCTTGCACTGTTGTCGAAGCCGTCCGATAACAACACCCATACAACACCCACGCGATGAGAGCAAGCAAGAAAAGAGAGCCAGAGAAAAGAAAGAAGAGAGAGAGAAGGAGAGCATAAAACCCCTCCCCTCTTCCGCTTCCCCCACCCCCTCCATCCCCCCCGGAACCCGCTACACGACCACCGCATCCAAGGCATCGCCGTTCCGCTGGCGGCGCTGGCGGCAGCGGAGGGGATGCCGCCGCTTCTCACACACACCTCCCTGGTGCTGCACAACTGGCACCGGCTGGACCCCGCCGGGCCTCTTCGCGCGGAGAACCTGGCCTGTAATTGTCACTTCTTGGGCGGGCTCGACGAGACGTGGTTCTACATCTCTACGGTGGAGATCGAGGCCAGGGGGGGGGGCGTGTTCGGAGCTCTGCTGGAGGTGCGTGGGGAAACAATGCGCTACGGAGTACACACACGCGTGCCGGTGACGTGTTTTGTGAACCCTCCTTTTTGGGTTGGTGCAAGTAGAGTTCGATTTTGGATCGATCGCGGTACTACGGCGTTTTTGTTCTCGACATAAAAGAGAGTGGTTGGACATCAAATGGAGAAAAATACAAGTTTTTCTGGCGCACCATTCTTGTTCGCGCGGTATCAGACCCGTTTGTTGTGCCGTCGGCTCTCGTGAGCTTTACCCGGGTCTCCTTCCCCCGGGGTTCGGTCGATCGTTGATGGGTTTCTCGCACGGACTGCTTACCCTTGCCCTTTTAGCTGCAGCCAACAACTGCTGTCATCACGGCGGTGTTGCTGGTTTCTGAAAATCTAAATACCATCTACTGTTCAATCGCCGAAAACCCAGTTTTACGATTCCCCCTTCAACGTCGCCTCGGTCGACGCTGCACCCCCCCCCCCCCCCCCCCCCCCCGGTGTTTGCCATCGGGGTT